TCAGAGGTGTTTGGTACCTGCTGGATGTCCTGCAGAGTCTTTATGACTCTGATGTAGTCGAGGTAAACCCCCCCTGCTGTGTCCCAGTCCTGGATGGTGGCGCAGTGCTCGGGGAGCGCCAGACCCTCCAGGAACTCCAGGAGGTAGTCGTGGTTATCGTTGATGATGCAGTCTGAGAGAGAGAGAGAGAGCGAGATTCAACAAACTGATCTCACAGATGAAACATAGCGTGATGTGTGGACTCGAGCGCCTCAGCACTTGTTGGCTCATCGTGTTTTTGAACCAACTGGAACTTTAATTCTCTCTAATGTAACCATGTAATGATGCTAATTATTCAGATCAGAGGAGTCTGAAGTTTTTGACTCTTCTGCAGGACGTGGTTCAGACCGCGTGTGCAAACAGGCGGGTCTACCTGAGGCCAGGTGCTGGATCAGCAGGCGGTGGCACTGGTTCCAGTATCGGGCTCGGTACAGGTGCAGGGCCTGCTGGTGTCTGTCGCCGTCGCGGTGGGCTCGGGTGGCCTTGGCCTCGTGGATCCACCGCTCCGGGATCAGCAGCTGCTCGGTCAGGAAGCGCTCCCTGCGGACAGAGTCCTCCGTCTCCTGCAGGGGGCAGTGCAGCGTCAGCATCTCCCTCACAGCTCGCTCCCTCTGACTGAAGACGCAGAGAAGAAGATCAGACAGGAAACAACGAGCTGAGATCTAAAGTGAGGACGGCCTTCAGAACAAAGCGGGCCGCAACGATCACGTTCAACTCGACTGTTACTGAAGATCACCGAGCCAACACGCCTACAGCTGAGAGCCGTCAGCTGTTTCCATGAGACTCGAGGATTCAAAGATCCGAGTCGTAAAACAACCTGAGCCCTGTTTGGCTCAGAGCCAAGCTGCTGAAGAAACGCCGTGCTGGCGGCGCGGTGAACGTACGCGTGCTCGGGGATGTGCAGCAGGATGAAGACGGCCATGTGCCACAGGCCGGCGCTCTCCAGCTGCGCGGCGTAGCTGGCGTGGAGGAGGCCCTGCCGTGGGGCGCTCAGGTGGGTGTAGTGCAGCGCCTGCAGGACGCCCCACAGGTGCCAGCTCAGGCGGTAGTCCAGGCGCTCCCAGGTGACGGCGAGAGGCTCCAGCAGCTGCTGCAGGCCGTAGTGTCTGCAGGGCGACAGGAGAAGCGTTAAAGTAGCGCTCTGCACGTTTTACCCAACCAGCGGCTGAAGCCTGGTTACCTGTCGCTGTAGAGTTTGAGCAGGTGGAAGCAGAGGTCGTACAGCGGCCGTTTGGACGCCTCCTCCAGATCTGGCTGCTCCGCCTCCAGGTATGGAGGCAGGGGTGCACAGGCGTACTTCCCCGCCTCACACAAGCCCTGCAGGACAGAAACAACGATCACCGATCAGCACGAACACAAGCAGGTCACTAGCTACACCCGTCACACCGCACACACCGCCCTCTGCTGAACACACTGAAACGAAGCTTTACGAGTGTAAATGTAACCTGAACGCTCGACAGTCAGAAATGAAGTCAAAGAAAATCAGCGGCGGCTCACCTGAAAGGCGGCTTCGTATCTGGCGAGGGCGTCGGCCACAGAGGCAGTCGGGGGCAGCATGAACCAGAGGTGGACGGCCACGCAGCGCTTCCAGTCCAGCTCGGCGCACACGTTCACCAAAGAGTCGGTGGACTGCCACACCTGCAGAGAACACCGTCAGCATCCAACCACAGCTGAAGACTGAGTGGAGGTTGTGCAGATCTCTGCAGGCCCTGATTTCACCCTGACGTCAGCTTTATAATTTACAAGCATTATTAACATGGATGCAACGACTGAAGTCACTGAACAATAACCACGAGAGAAGCTCGTGAAAATGTTTCTTGTTTTACACGCTGTTGATTCTTTCCTGGTAGGACGTGATGCGCCAAAACCAACAGAAGGTGGCACTAATTCAGGTCGTTAGCTGACGACCGCTAACACCACAGAAGAAGATAATGCATGTGTCACATTAGCTTTATAGACTCTGGTCATGGCGTCATACCGGTTTCCCGGCGAGCAGAGCGAAGATGCGGAGTCGCTCCTCGGGCAGGTAGCAGTCGGTCTGCATGCGGTGCCAATCGGCGAGCTGAAGGGCGAGAAGGTCCCTGCAGTACTGCGAGCCCACGGCCTGAGACAGCAGCAGGGACAGACGGTGGTCTCCTGGACGGACAAACAGTTCAGTCTGTCTTTCATTACAGACTGGAAAACGTGTCGCCGTGTCTACTGAGCGCCACATTCATGACTCATCGCTGCTACTTCCTGTTTGAGCGAGTGAACCTCACCTTCCTTCTGGGCGAGTCGGCACGCCTCGCTGATGCGGTTTCCCGTCAGGTAGCTGAAAACTGCGTCGACATGGCGACCTTTCCTGGCCAAAGCCACCTCCTCCTCCACCCTGTGGGAGGCACCGTGGGACAGCCAGGCCGAGAAGCTCCGCCTCCTCTCCAGCTGCTGCTCGTACTCGCTGAGCACCTCGGCCTCCTGATCCGAGGGGCCCAGCCGGCCCCACAGCGCCTCGCACAGAGTCCAGACCTCGGCCCAGTACCCCAGCAGCGCTGCAGAGAGAGAGCGTTTAAACCGGCGTCAACACCAACGCGTCGTCTTTCAGCTGTGATGTCATCACTTACGCTCAGTGTCGCCTCGTCTGTCTTTCAGCTCGGCGATCCACTCGGCATACTCGTGCAGCGCCGCCACGCCGGGCTGTGGTCGCACCGCAGGGCAAGCGGAGCTGTCGGGGACCTCCACGATGCTGTGCTTCAGGCAGATCTCCAGGGGGCGCTGCAGCACCGCCTGGCTCTCTTCATCTTCCTCTTCTTCAATGGTTTTCCCTCTGGGAGGCTCCAGACCCACCACCTGCTCCACCACTACCTTGTAGGGGCTTTCTGTGAGTCTGCAGAACCAAATCAAGCAGTTTAATGGAGCTGATCTGTGGAGGGCGCGCCGTGGAAGTAAAACCATTTAAGATCAACGGCACATTACATCAAGGTGAACCGTACAGGCAGATGAAAATGTGCCTGTACGGTTAACCTTACATGATGGAGCCATGTTGTCATGGTAACTATAGACGCAGCCTGGCTGATGTGTTGGCGTGCGGCGTGTTCGTGGCTCTTACGGTTTGCTCCTGGCAGGTTTCGGCAGGAAGCTGAAGTCAGTCTTTGCCGTCAGTTCTTGGTGCTCGAACTGCTTGGACGTTGGCGAGCTCAGCCGGCTGCCGCAGTGTGCGAGCGTCCAGCCGGGACCCCACCCGACCCGGAAGGAGCGCACGGCGAACAGCCCGGTGTCCATGAGTAAACCTCCCTGAAAAACAGCGGCCCGACTTTGAGCTTAGGGGGAGAACTTGTCTCCTCTCGGAGAACCTGCCGTTCACATGAAGATGATGCTTTACAGACTCTGACCTCTGACCTCTAAACTGGATTTCTAAGCGTTAACAGGACTCAGTGACACGTGACCGTCACTTTGAGCACTCGAGGTGTTTTCAGAGGAAACGCCGACCTCCTGAGCACCAACCTTCCCGTGAGTGATCGACTCTTTGAGGGGGACGGGGCCGCCGAGCCGCCGAACGCCAACCGTCCTAAATGAAGGCTCCGGAGTCCGGGAGGGCAGCGTGAAGGGGGACGGGCCAGGCCCCGCCCACTGCAGAGAGCGGGGGGCTTCAACGCCGGCTGGAGACGGCCGTGATGGAGGAAGGAGAGGGCGGGGAGAGTCTGACAGCTGAGGGAGGCCCGAGGTGAATCGAGCCTGAAGGAGACCGCCGGCTGCAGAGAGACAGAAGTTTGATTACGTCGTCGCCATTTTTACTGATGCCTCAAACTGTTAACAGACTGATGAGAAACATCGTGTGAGGGAGCGAGCGGGCGTTTCATACCAGAGGGTCGGCCCTGAGCGGCCGGCAGGACGAGGCGAGGAGACGAGACATCCGTGGAAACCTTCATCGCCGCGTGATCGTGGAACATGTCGGTGTCATCGTCGTCCTCAGCAAACAGGGACGCCTTCATGATCTGAAGACGAGACAATTTCACTGAACAGACAAACTGCAGAGTGAAGTAAAAGGCTCTGGTTGCCTCGGTAACCCCCTGATGTAGCCTCGTTTAAACATGTTTGCTAATGAAGGTCAGAGCGGATCGCCACGTGACTCTAAAACCATTTCCTGCCAGTCACACATTCATGGACTGCATTTATATAACATTATGTATGATAATGTTAAATGCATTATTCACCATTTGGTCTTTAAAAAACAAACAAACAGGCCTTGTGATGCACTTCCTGTGGGCGGAGCTCATAGCTGTACCTGGAGCGTGTGTGGGTTGATCCCCAGTGTAGAGGCTATGTGGCCGGATGCAGATATGCCGTCGAGCTCTGAGGAGGCCAGACCGCCGAGCTTGGAGATTGTCGTGTCCGTCTCCCCCGCCAGCAGGTCGCCGTCTTCCTCTCCTCCCAGCATGCTCTCTGTCGGGAAGCTCTGGGTGATGTCAGCCATGTCGCTGTCGAGCTCGTTGGCGCCGCCCTGGTGCTCCATGATGGCGATGGCCTGAAGGCAAACAGACATGGCAGTGATTTTGCTGCTTCTTACAGTTTTCATATTCAGAGTTTACAGAGCGTGCTCTTTATAGACGATGTGGGCGGAGTTCAGAGATCGTGCCACCTGATGGCCCCGCCTCTATGTGTTACCTGTGGTTCTGTTACTTTAACACACCTTCATGTCGGATCCTGGACAAAACGTTTGCACATCTCTTCTTGTTCCGCTTTCGGTCGTGTTCCAATAAAATCTGAATCGAGCCGAGCACTCACCGACAAACAGCCCAAAAAACATTTTTGTCAAACCAGGTGGGAATAAAACAGGCGGGTTCTCCTCTTTATCAGCCAATCACAGCTGAGCTTCTCTCTGGAGTAACAACCATCTTCACACAAAGTTTACAGACCAAAGTTCAAATGTCTTCATTAACTTTATTTGTTTTCATTAATTTCAACGAGGAAATGTTACATTTTGTCACAAATTAAATCAGGTTTCTACAAAAATCTCCCTCATAACATAAACCGAGTTTGTTTACAAAGATCAAACCGTCTGTCAGCGTCTAAACATCACAAAAACACGAAACAGCAAAACGTTTGCTTAGATGAGTGAGAGGCGCTTGGACCCCCGGGCGCTGCCACAAAGAACTCTGACCCTGAAACGCCCCTTTTTTTCTTCTACTTCACGGCTTCTGGTTGTAAGGCTGACCCGACCTTTCACCTCGCGACCTTCTCACAGGTGATAAGCCTGTCGTCTGTTTCCGACTCTCGGAGAATCAAGCGTCTGCGATCTTTAGTTCTGGAAACCTCTCGGACTACCGGAGCGCTCGCTGAACATGAAGAACGCTGTTTGTAGAGATGTGTCTGTTCTTGTTCTCAGTTTATTGGTAAAAGAAAAAAGCGAGTTTTTTGCTTTGAATATAAATATTTTGGACTCTGTCTCGACGTTCTTCGCTCCTCTGTCATCGTTAACGCTGAACTTCCTTCGTTAATCCTGTAAAACTCCTGGATGCGTCTCGTTATTCTCAGACTTCATTACAGCAGCTCAAAGTCGGCTCCTTATTGAGCGCTCTGTTCCTGACCTTTGACCTTTATGTCACACAACTCCTTCACTCATAAATCACCGACGTCTGACAGTAAAAGGATTTAAAGCGTCACACGCTCGCCGGCGGCGCCGTGGAGCCAGTTCTGCCTTTGTCCAACATTTCCCAAATGATTAATATGCGAGATCAGGGTCATGTGTAATCTGCATCCACGAATCAGTGGTGACTTTCTAGAGCCACTGGTGGAACTGGCTCCACATCAGGCAGCGTGCTGACGCTGCACAGCTGCTCCGAGTGAAAATGATCAAAATCAAAAAGCTTCAAACTTAAAAAAAAACAAAAGACTGAAAACGTCTGGTTAAAATCGACCTGCAAGCACACCATTGGGTGAAGCACTCCTTTAATCAGTGGCCTCAGTGAGGAGGAGGAGGGTGAGTGTGGGAGGGCGCGGGCTGCTCTACCTGAGCCTGCGGCGCCACCTGCTGCTGAGAGGGGGGAAGCTGTTGCTGCTGCAGCCGGGAGGGAGGGAGCGTCAGCGTCTTCAGCTTCTTGGCTTCGGCTTTCGGCGGGACGTCCTCGTCTTCGTCCGAGTCCTGCAGGCCGTACTTGGAGAAGTGCGCCACCTGAGGAATAAAGAGGGGGAGGAGTCAGATACACCTGAGAACCACACAAACAGAAGTGACTCCATCATTTTTATCCAAGTGTTGTGGATCTGAACCTGCTGAAAACATTCACACATCAACGAACGTAAACAAGGACGGTGCTGACGTTCATCAGGTGTCAGTCCACAGCAGCGGGCAGCGAGCGAGCTTTAATCTGAAACTGACCTCGAACACCCAGGACCCGGTCTCAGGTCGGTACTCCAGGAAGCGAGCTCCCTGCTTGCGCGATGCCTTCTCCAGCCGGCCCTCGTAGTTCATGTCGCTCAGACGCTCGGGGCTCCTGATCTGGGTGCAGGCCGTCTTGTCATTCGGCCAAACGCCGTCCAGAGTCACCTCTGCTCGCCTGCGAAAACACAGATCCACATCAGGACAGGAAGCAGAGGCAGAACGCCACAGGTTGATTAACCCTCTGGGGTCGAGGGTATAATCACACGTTTTTGACTACTTTTGATTTTACCTTTAAAAACTGTTCGCTTCCTTTGGTATCATTTTTCATTTTAACATTAACACAAATCAGACAAAAACATAAAATCCATTTATCTAAAAATGCAGTTCAAGTGTTTTAACCATTTAAACCTATTTATAGAACAATCACGTGTTCTGCCACACACGTGATTTGTGCCACGCCATGAAAGCGTCACAGGACAGAAGAGCACATCACTTCCTGTTTCCCACCTGGAGGCAGTGTTTACATCATAATCTGCCTTCGGTGGCGTTTTGGCAGAACGGTGACATTCAGCAGTCGCCTCAGTGCGCGGTGCTGCCGACTGCTTTGTTGTGCACGTCGAAACAATAAGTACACGCTGAACAACACCTCTCAAAACTCTCTCCCCTAAACTTCCTCCTCTTCCTAAACAACCAGATGTCACATGTTGCCATATCATTTTGTGATTGGTCGATACGCTAAATTCTTCCACCAATGGGGAAGGGGTGGATTTTTCTTCTCGCTGGCCAGCAGCGAGCGCCGTCCTTAGTTTTAGAAAAATGAGGTGAACGAATCCTGTAAGTTAGCTTGTTTTTAAACTGAAATCTTTTTTCCTTTGAGACGTTCGTTTTGGTTTGTAAGGTTTCCCGTCATTTCCTGTCGCTCACCTGTTAAGCCCCTCCCCCTCCGGCGGCTTGCTCTTGTCGTCCGGGTACACGATGACCTCTTTGCGTCTGAAGTGGACGATTTCGTCAAGGTTCAGTCCCGACACGTTCACCTCGCCGGGGAAGAAGATTGAGCCGTAACCTGGAAAAGCAGATCGGTGAAGAGCGGTGAGACAGCTGTCCAATCAGAGCCGACTTCAGCTCAAACCTGTTAGCGTACGACTGAAGTATGACATCACACGTGCGCAGGCAGTACCTTTCCTGCCGATGGTGAAGTTCTCCACGATGCACTCCCCGTTTTCGTCCACCATGTCGGCGAGCTCGTCCATGGAGGGGATGGTGTAATAGCCCACACGATTCAGAACGATGCCTGAAAACAGCAAAGCAAACGCGCGTCTTTTACCGTCCAGCGAAGGAAATGCGGACAGAAGCTGAAATCAGCGAGCACGCTCAGTTACCTGCAGGGTGCGGAGACTGCTGGGACAGCTGCTGCTCCTCCTCTTGCTCCTCCTGCAGAGACTCCTCGCCGAAGGACGCAGACACGTCATCGTTGCTCAGCTGAAAAAACAAAAAACTCAGAATTAGCCGCGATTCTAGCGTGCTGTGCTGCCTCGGGCCACTAGGTGGCAGCAAAATGTAAAAGTTCAGAAGCAGTGAAGAAAACGGGATTAATGTTTCTAATTTGTTCAGCTGATGTTCGGGACTCGAACACTGATTTATTTGTGCCGCTGATTCTGCAGCTCAGCTTAAATCGGCGGTTAGTTTCGTGTTCGTGGTTAAATCTCACAGCTGCTAGTTCATCGTCCGATATCGTAACTATGTTATTGTGGCGCTCGTTCTCTGCTAGCGACGACGCGCTTGGGGAGGCGGTGATGTTTGTTCTGGTTCTGACCTCGAGGCCGTTCCTCGAGCCTTTGTGCATGTTCAGGTCGCCGATGGTGTCCTGCAGGCTGGCGTGGGCGCGGCCCTGTGGGATTGGCTTGGCGATGGGGTTGACGTAGAACTGGGTGACCTCCGGGTCGTCGTCGGCCCGCCTGCCGGGGCCCGCCACCCTCCTCAGCTGCTCCTCTTCCTCCTCCACGTGGCTGCAAATAGGAGAACATGGCGAGGGGAGGAGAGAGAAAGGAAACGTCAAAGCGGCTCACGCCTGAATCAGCGCTGCAGTTTCTACGGTCATGTTACACTTTTGACTCTCATAGACGTGACAGCCAATAGGAACGTGGCGAGACCTGTGTCCGTTCTGTGGGTACTCTGACGGCGAGGCAAGGTCGTCGCTCTCCTTGTTCAGAGGACTGCTGTACTGACTGTTGTTCAGGTTCTTCAGCACGAGCTTCTTGATGCTCTTCCTGTGGAGGAAACGGACAGCGTTACCTGTCGGCATGCGCACGGTCATATTTAACTTTGCCGCTGCGTGGCGAGCGGAGGTGTACCTCGGCACGAAGGCTCCGTTGGTGAGCGACGGCTCGTCGTCATCCAGGCCGTCAAACAGCTGCGACTTCGAGGCTCCGGAAGACGTCAGCGCTTTGGGCCGCACCCTGGTCGCAGGACGCGGAGTCAGCTTGTAGTGAGTGGGCGTGGTCAGAGCCTTCTGAGCCGTCGGATTGGTCGGTTTCAGGCGCTGTCAGAACAAAGAAGAGATGCAGATTACAAGTTAACTCACAGCTTTGTATTACTTTATGTAATAAATTCTACGTTCCCGTCACTGGTGAGGGGCGGAGCCTCCCAACGGTTTGTTTAGACGAGGTACCGACAGCGAGGAAGTGAAACCGCCGTGACGGCAGCAAAAGAAACTAGGGGTGGGCGGTACAAACTAAACAGAGATTTTTACTATACCACAATAACAAGTTGATGGTGTCATCATGGATTATCTCAGTTGTTCTCCTGGCTGAAGTTTGGTCCGTTTACAGCATCCTGCCATGCGATTACATTTGTTCCTGACCATCGGGAACCCTCATGTTAACTTTTATAGAGTGGAAAAAAGTTAGCTTGTTTATATTATGCTAACATAGCTGTGTTGCTAGCGGTCACGTAGCACATCATTATATACCAGCTAGCCCAACTTCAGTAACCCTACAAACGTCACTGCTGTTTAGTTTTCTGTCTTCATTTATGTTGGAAGTGATAACAGAGCTGTACGTTTTAATTTTTCATAAATCTCTCAGTCAGAACATGCTATATCATGCTTAAGTGGAAGCTAGCGAGCTAACTTCCTGCTAACTTCTAACTCTGTTAAATGTCATAAATTCCGTTTTCATGGATGCCTGGATGTTAAACTCAATTGTTACACCTGGTAGAGCAGAACGCTGATCATTTTATTAAAGATGAAAGACTTTAGACAGTTTTTAACTCTTAGTGATGTCACAATGTTCGTTTGACTTTGGGACCAGAAGAGAACGGAGTTTAGGACCCATATTATTCAGAGAGGCTCCAGGCTACGGTAGCCCTAATGCTCCGACAATCCATCAAGTGGTGCGGCTTCGTAGCTTACCAAAGTTGTACCAAAACATTTTGACTGATTGCTGTGCACTATGTACCACATAAAATCGGTTCAAGGTCAGTAAGCACAACCAGAATTCATACATAAGGCGCTCAGTCGACTTCTGAGAAAATTAAAGGATTTTAAGTGCGCCTTATAGTAGGGCTGTTCATATAACGATATATATCGGATGACTATATAAAAACGTCCATCGTTTCATTTTACGCTATCGTTTGTTTCGTGGCGTCACAAAATAAACAGTTTACAGCAATAGTTTTTCATGGTTCTGATGTCACTGTAGTGGCTATATTCATTTATTGAAGTTCTCTCTTTCTCTTATATTTTATATTACCACACTACAGACGGACAAGCGCCTGTTTTTATGCGTTGTCGTTAGCAACAACAACAGTAACAGCATCGCGTGTCCGCTTGTTTATGTTCCACGTAAACCTTTCACAATAAGGCTCAAGATCCTGTTGAGACTTTTCAAAATAAACTGAATCACGTGAAAGATGCAGAGTGTTTACAGAGGAGAAGCAAAAAAAGGGCCGTCAGGTGCTAAAAAATAAACCTTAGACTCAAACGTTAGAACAGCACAGCCCTACCTTATAGTGCAAAAAATATGGTATACAATACAACACAGTTTTATTTATATAGCACACGTAAAACCTGAAGGCTCACCAAAGTGCTTCACAGTAATACAGAGAAACAACAAGTCATTTTAAGTACAGATCGGGCACTAGCACAGACAGAAGGGAGGCACTAATAGACAGGAAGAGTATTAAAAATAGGCATCAACTACGGCTGTGTGATATGACCAAAATCTTATATCCCGATATAAAACATCTATCGTCCGATAACGATATAAATCACAAAAATGTAACATTTTCTGTAAATTCTGTGAATCTCGGGCAGCTCGACTTGTGTGAAGTGTTTCCAGCTGCGCGTCATGTAGCTGGAATCGAGTGTTTATTACACGGCGTGCTGCGGGGAAAAGCCTGTTCTGCCATCTTCTGTTTCAGTCCGTTATTACACTCTTAAATCCTGCTACTTATTCCTGCGTCTTTTGGGATCTTACAAAGCTTCAAACGACGTGTCGACTATTAAATTAGTCGTCGACGATTTTGATAGTCGACGAATGGTGGCAGCCCTACTCCCACTAATATGTTTTTGTTTGAAAATACATCTTTTTCTCTGAGTTTTTGCCTCCCGTCCACACTGAGGCGTTTTGAAGATGCTCTCCGAAGCGAATACATTTGAAAACGCTGTTTTTGCATTGCAGTGTGGACAGCAAACCCGGAGCCTTCTCGAAAATAATGACACATTTTAGTCATATGATGCAGTCATGTGACAAACTAAGACAGCGGAGGGCATTACACACCAGTTGTTTTGTTTGCTCTCAGTTTTGACGGCCCTGTTAAAGATCAACATCAGTCTGTACGTGCTCCAGAGAGCTTTTCTTCAAATTCTTTAATTCTCACTCACTTTGGAACTTTGTACTTTTGTGTTACTCACAGCAACAACTCCACCTCATTGTTAGTCCATTTAAAAAACTTTCAAAGAGCCGGAAATAAGCGGCAGACAGAAATGAGGCAGGCCGAATCTTCTTACGTTTCACGCATGCGCGCAACTGGAACGTAAGCGTTTTTGGCCATTTCAATGTGGACGCACAACTCTGTGAAAACGACTGAAAAGTGTGAACCAAGATGTGTACCAAGATGGCGCCGAGTATGGCAGCCTCGTCGCGAGCTCCCCCAAGCAACGGCTTTCTTCTGTGTTTAATTTT